GTGAGTGGGATCGACTCAGCGGTAGTTTTGTTTGAAACCAAGCAAAGAATTCCATAATAATTGAAAATAATTGAAAAAGATAAAGAAAAACAAAAAACTGAAAAAAGATGTAGAAATATTGAAACATAAGTCATAAAGATCTCATAAACATGATATGAGTTGTTACTTTTACCAGCCAAGAAATGTTTAAAACTCCTTAACAAAACAAAGAAAAGAAAATCTTGCAAAAATCTCTCGAAAGATAGAGATATAGAAATGTCCATAAAATGAATTTTATACACAAATATGGTATGTTTAATTAAGTTTATATATGTATGTATGTATCGTACTCCTACTGTAGTCAATTCTATGATTGAAGTCAATGTGTTTGTTTCGTTTGTTATCGAACAACAAATAACGAGAAAAAAAAACAAAACGTAAAAAAGAAAGAACAAAATACATTATAATTTTTTATTGAAAACTAATTCTCGAATTGTGTATGTCCAATTTCTTCTCTTAGTACTTGTAGATCTTGTAAACTATATCATTTTGTTGTATATATGATTTATGATTTTTTCTACCTTGTGGTGTTTTACTTTAGTTTGTTTCAGTGTACTCGAAACTGAACCAGCTTCAGGCTACACTTTCCTCCCAACACCTTGTACACTCGTACACCTCCTAACCCTCATTCAGCTCTATAAAACTTGACTAACGGATTCTTTAGCTGTTACTAATCTTAATCAAGTTTTCTTAACTAACCTTTTTCTATACCTATATCTAACTGTTGTTTGGTTATGTTACTAATGCTCAAATTTTCAAAGAGTTTTTTATATTAATATTTTTTTTTTATTTTAATAGATTTTATTTTTGATTTTTGGTTGAAGTAATACTATTATTCTTATTTTAATTTCTGTTCATTAATATTTCGTTAAGCATTTGTCTAACATATCTATTAAAACGGTTTGGTCTTTCTAGTATAGCCTGTTCTAACCTTTCTAACCAACTCAATTTAGCATACCATGTAAAAAGAATATATAAATATATCAAGAAAAAACCAGAAAATTTTCAAATTATTATAAATAGGTCAAAAATCGAAAATGATAAAATTATAATCCCAACTTGCTTACAGTGTAATACAAGAGAAAACGAACAAAAGAAAAGTTCAATAAAACAAACTACTGGTCAGTCGGTCTCACTAACTTCACCCCCGCTTCCCATTTGGGGCGGTACCAGGCAATCAACCTTTACTATCAATCTACCTAGATCTTAAGTCTGCACATGCACCCGAAACTTTGCATGCACTTTACTAATAAGCTAATCTAACTATATAGAACTGCATTTAAAAGTAACTAAGCGACCTAATCAACAACTATGCAACACTTTACAACACTATGCACACTTTTACAACACTATTTGTTAAACACCACAATGAAACCCCTCTCAACTATTTAATTACTATGTAGTAAATCCACACCAAGTGTAGTTTTTGCAAACCTAAATACGTACACCCCTTAAACACCCAACCACTAAGTATATATTTATTCTCTTTACTGTAGTCCTATGGTAATATTAATATTAGTTATATAAGTGGCCCAAAACCCAACTAAAAACATCCATGTATGTATACCCTGTAGTTATTATGGCATTCTTCAACACTTTTTGCGTACAATGTTTGATTCGAATTCGAATTCGGGTTCGAGTTCGAATTCGAAATTCTTGTTTTGGACACCTGTGGCACCAAATTCAATTGGCTAAAGGCTTCCTTTATGTTTTGGATTGCTCTTCTCCTGAGTACACATAAAAATCTCTTAAATTGCATGTTTTATCAATAATACTAAATTCACAAACAGCATGAGTCACATAAATACGCACACACACACCCACGAACACACACACTCTCCCATACACTCACTTAAGCACTCATTAGCTCACATGTTATCCACCTAATGTATGTATGTGGTCCACTCCCGTTATGTTTTGACCCAGATTGCACGATTGCTGACAGTCGGTCGGCCAATTTGAATACTTAACACATGCATGCACGTGCTTGCTGCCCATAACCCGTTCAATTTACATAAATCGAGCTGTGAACTTCAACTGTATACTGTATGTCATCCATTTGTACGTACATGTCTACATGTACATACATATATTTCTTGCAGGCTTTAAGAGACGCGGATAAAAACGAAACAGAACAATTAACAACAAAAACAACAACAGCAACAGCAACAACAACTGCAACACACAACTGAAAAGCAAAAAAACTAATAAAACGAAAATAACAGCAATAACAACGAACGGCAAAGCACACACACACGCTCACACACTCAATCAGACAATGAGAAGCAAAAGAACAAAGAACATAGCGAAAGCAAAAACAAAGCTTACCAATTCGCCGGCTGCTGCTGGTGCGACTGCTGTTGATTGTTTTCTTCATTATGATAGCTACATACACACACGCACACAAAACCAATTACACAACAAGAGTAAAGCCGAAGCAAATGCAAAGTAAGGAGTGCATATGCTTATCACGGCATCAGCTGCTCTTGCTGCTATTACTTTACTGTTACACACACACTTAATCAGAGACAATAATACATGCCCAGTGAAAGGCTGAAGCCAAATCACCGGCTGCTGCTGCGCTGCAACTTGTTGCTTTTACTTCTAGCTCCACACATACACACACACACACAAACACAGCTAGAGAACATATTGAAAACAAAAGCAAAATAATGCACGCAAAGCTATAGGCATTCTAAGCCAATGACTGGTGCACTTGTTGCTTTTGCTTTTAACTACACTGAGCAAGAAGGAAAAGAACGCCGAAAGTAAAAACAATGTAATGCGCGCTAGGCTTAACAAGACGCCAGATGTTACTTTTTGCTTTTGTCTTTTATGTAGCTATGCTCCCACTCGTAATTGTGTATGATAGCTATTAATTGATACCCAGCCCCGCATCCCAATAACTCACTCTGTCTGTGTATGTGTGTGTGTGTGCTTCTATCAGCGCGTGTAATTAAGCTTTATTAATAGTAGCTATTTGTGTATTCACTTTTAGTACTTGTAACTCTATGCTAGTTGATCGAACTGATTATTAGTTATCGCCATCGCTATCGCTTGCTAAACAACGTATCGCAATCGCAAACGCAATCGTAGTCATACGTAGAACAAATATATCGTATGTAGATTTATGTAGTTACGTCACAGACAACACGTACGTCTGCGCACGCACGCACGCCCGCTAAGACGCACACAAATTGAATTGCTCAAATTGTTATTTATGCGATTATCTCTTCTATTTTTTTTATAAATTTTTCTTTATTACATATGCATTTGCTCATTTCATTCCGGTTGGGCGTGCAATCCAATTTATCAATTTCATCCAAAACGTATTGCCATTATGCAGTACCCCAGATTCCAAATACGAATACGAATACGGGCTTTAGCCCGGGCGTGGGTCTACTGCCCGGCTGGATGTGGAGCCTAACGAATCGGTACTTTTAAAGAACTCGCGCACACCAGTTCCAGTTCCTTCAGTTTCGTTTTCAACTACAACAACTATATAACTGTATTATCATATATATATATATGTATGTATATATATATATAAACGCGTGCCTTAAGTTGTATTACGTCCATATAAATATGCCTGCTTGAGTGATCTCTGTCTAAAACAAACAAGTATTTAAACAAATAAAAAACTGTCACACAAATGCCACGCCCAGAACTAAAAGCAGCTGCCGCCATTGCAAAACGCCCAGAAAAACGCCAAAAATTCGTTATATTTCAACAACGAATTCAACATTTAAAAACATTTGCGCACAGAGTGGAACAGTATGTTGCATTAATTACGTTAATTACTTATTTTTATTTTTAAATTTTCTTAAGTTAGCTTAGTTTAAGTTTTGACCATTTTTGGCAGTTAATATACACATATTTAAAATTGAATTTAAAATTAAAATTAAAATTATTTTTATTTATACACATCAGTGTATATACACCCAATAATCTATATACAGTTTTGTCCAAAAGTCTTGCACTCTAATAGAAATCAGCTTAGATATATGCCTACCACTTAAATATATCTTAATGAGACCTGTTTGAAATGTTTTATTGACTACGTACTAATTTGAACTTTTCGTTTGCTTTCGATAACAACAGCTGTCGGCGATAACCAGTCCAATGACGAACCCTACGAGCCGGAAATGGCGGAACGAACCGGTTCAGGCGCAAAGTCCTATCAGCTACCAAACAGTTCCGCTGCCAGCGTGCTGCTGAGCACCTTCTTACTCTGCTGTATATCAAAATTTATAATTAGCTAAAATCGATTTGAGCCTGACGGATTCCTTGGGGAATATTACATCAAACTATCCGAAGATATTATGTGAAATATTTTGTTGTTTTTAGTAAAGTTTACAAAAAGTTTATCAATACAGTTTTTTGCGGGCTACCAAAAACATTTAAGATTTGTCAATTCGAATTAATAGAAACAAACTATATATAGATGCATATGTATGTAAATATATATATGAATATCATGTAAACCAGGTGCCTTAAAATCGTTGTGTAAATACAAAATGAAAGAAAATAATAGAAAGCAGCATTAAATTAAATTTAAATTAATACCTAAATATTTAACATTCCAAATAAAAAAAGAGCTTAACAGGAGATCAGGATCATATCATATATCTCTATATATAGAGCCGATACAACGAGTATATTATGTAACTTAAAGATGACAATTTGCGATATTAACTATAGCGAGCCATATGAAGAAAACACAAAATTCTTAACGATCAAGCGACTTATTTTGGGTAGATTCGAATTGTTAGTGAAAAAGCAAAAGTTTTTGGGTAACAATTAAATTTACAAAAACTTAAGATCGTAAGTGAATAAAAACAGATAAAGATGAACATTATATAGTATATGCATAAGTGTAAGTGTAAGAAAAATCTTAAGCGATATTTGTTCGGGTTTAACATTTAAAACCGAAATATTATTATTATTAAATTTACTTATATTGTGTGTTACAATTACTTAGAATTGTACGTTTTGCAAAAGTGATCGAAAAACAAAAAATATAAATAAATATGAATGTTAAAACACTATTACACGGTATAAATCCCTATTGCTTCACTATCTATTGTGACGAAGACTACTATTACTACTACTGGGGCACATATAACACACACATATGTATATATGATTATATGAAGCTGATGGTGAATTAAATTATAAAGTCTTATACGCAAATAATTTTGAGGTGCTACAATTTGGTAGGTTTTACATAAATCCTATCCTATCTATGTATCCAAATCGGCTTCGACTTGCGCATGAAGCACCTCCAAGTTGGCAACTTTTGGAGTTTTCTTATTTTTATTCTCTTTGTGGATGTTGATGTTGCTGTTGTTATTGTTACTGTTGCTGTTGTTGCTGTTGTTAATGCTATTGTTGTTTGACTGTTTCTGTAGCTGCTGCGCACTAGATTTTGTGCTCTTGCGACGTCCGAGACCTGAAATCAACCAGCCAAAACAATCGGATGCTAAGTAAGATAAGGATGAGCTTAAGAATTACTTAATAATTCTAGAAAAGATTGATAAGTTTACATTTGATGGGGCCCTCCATGCCGTCAATTGGGCAAGTTGTGCCGCGATAGGGCGAATTCGGTACGGCATCGAGTAAGAAGTCCGGCTCCGGTTCGGGCGTATTCTGAGCAATACCTAAATAATCATTTTCCATTTTGATATCATAACTAGAACACGGCGATAGTGAACGCTGCATCAATGAAGATTTATCTGTGGTCAGGTCAGATTGTGGCTCAATTTTAGCTATAACATTGGCTATAATAATCGGAGCAGTCAGTTAGTCTCCGATCATCTCTTTAGTCAACAATTGAATCTTACCAATACTGCCTTCTCTCTTTTGTAAGCTCCTTATGATAGCTCCATGCTCAGCCACCTGCAATTTGAGGCGCTGTATCTCTTTCTCCTGAGCGGTCATTTTACTCTCACGCTTCTTGTGGGGAATACTGCTGCTTAGGCTAACAACGCTATGCGATTCACAATGGTGACCCTCGTCATCACTGTCCATGATGGTAATCGACTCCACTGGTGGTGGTGAAATTACGCGACATTCAACAGCATCATCGTCGGTGGCAATCGTATCAATTGTCAGATTGGAGATGGCACACATCGAGGCCGCAGTTGGATGGGTTAAGCGTTTGCGTAGGCGACGATAGCGTACGGTCAATATGCGATTGTTGAGTGTACGACGCACCAGGTCTCTGAAGGCATCCATAGCCATCTCGGCATTGGCATAGCGTACAAATGCATAACGTGCGCGCTTCTGGCGTTTCATAACACCGATATCAACACGCATGGAGTTGACAAACACCTTAATATCGGCAGCATTCATATTGAATGGTATGTTGCTCACATATAGTGAGCAGGGATCAATACATTCAGCCTGCTCCTCATCGGTGAATGTCTTCAGTTCAGCATGCAAACGGCCATGACCGAAGCGAACTTGCTTTAACTCCTCTATGGTACGCTCGACATTTGCGCCAGCCTTCAAATGGACCAAACAATAACGCTGCGCCACATTTGTGGGAAAGACCACATCGCGAATGCTCTCCGAGAACTCACTGACCGAAGCAACGCTTATTTTTGGATCTGGAAATCGTACAAGCAGCGTCGGTGCCTGCGGTGTCTTTGTGGCCAGTTCGCGCTCCAGCTCAAGGGCGCGCAATGCATTCTGACGACGTAAATTGGTGAGTGCCTTGCGATTTAGCTTGGCAGCTAAAACAGAGAGTCGCCGCGATATAGAGATACTAAGAAAACTATGTGCAGCTGGTATTTGCTTACTCTGTGTATTCGATTTGGAGTCCTTGTCCGATTCAAATAAAGTTTGCCCATCATTGGCGGAGGTCTTTGACTCAGTATTTGACATCCAGGAGCAGAGCTGGCTACCAGCAGGTGTCTGTTGAAACATAAAAGACTCTAATGAAGGCGCACATCCGTTGCCAGTGTAGGGCGCCACATGATTGCTGGGCGATAGATTATCGCGCTCAGCTTTTAGGCTATCACAATCCGTTTCCTTGGTAACTTCCATTTGCAAGCATTCTGGCTGTGCATCGCTCGTATCTTTATCTATACCTGATTCCTGATCCAGCTGCAGAAGGTCATCATCTGCATCTGCAGCTGTTGCGCGCTTGGCATCTGGGCCATCACCCAAGCCCGTTTTGCATGCCAAACGTTTTAAGTCCATGTCTTCAACGAAATACGCTATATATTCCAGAATTGTGCAGTATAAAACTATTGCGTAAAAATCACTTTTTTAACAAAATATCAGCTCCTTAACAAAATATGCTGCTGTGTTATGTTGCCGACTGGGTGGCAACGCCCAACGAACAGCTGATTTCAGTAAACGAACGGCCGACTATGTTCACAAAAAAATACTCACATCTGTTAGGCAGAGTATCGAGTTAATACAAATTGCTTGCAAATAGCTTTTACCATCCTTTGGCGTAAATTGATTTAAGCTACTTTATATTCATTACTACGTGTTAATATTAATTACAAACAAATACAAGTCGTTGGTTATTTAGAGAAACTACAATTTGTGTAGTAAACTTTTAGTATAGAAGCAATTTTTGTTTAGATCACGGCTCATATAAACAGCATACTTGGCTAGAAACGTAATAACACAACATAACAAACAAAATGTCTGCAGCACTTTTGCGAAACACCTTTAAGTGCATTAATTTAAGATTAAATACAACAGCTTTCACAAAAAGAAATATATGGTACGTGTTTTAATTTGATAAGAAATACAGAAATTGCTAACTTTGGTATGTTTTTATTCAGCACAAGTCCACTGCGGTGCAAATGGCGGAATACAGGCTCTGCAGATGTGGAACGTACTCTTTTAAAGAGGGATAATTTACCGGCCCATTATCAGCTAATCTATCGTGCGCCTTTAGAGAAATATGTGACCTGGACAAAGAATGTTTCGACTTTTACAGTTTCCGTTATTGCCTTAATTGCCGGCTATCAACTGGCCACATCTATAAACTTTATGAATTTGGTTCGGAAAATTGATGTTGGCGTGCTTGTATCGAATGAAGCGGACTTGTATTTCTTTGCAGCGGGTTTTGTGTTGATTAACTTGGCCATACGCATTTTTGTATTCAAATATCCACTGAGAATTTACAAAAGCGGCGATAAGTATGTACTAAATCAGTTAATTTTTTATACTAATTATATAATCATTTTACAGATATGTTGCGGTTTTTGGTTCACAAATGCCTGTGGGCACAGTCAAACATTATTTTCAGCGTGGCCAAATAGCAGAGTATAAAAATGTATTGAATCCGTGGAGTCATGTTATATTTAAGCTGGACAAGCGTTCATCAATGCTAATGATTGATTACTTTAAAACACCATCTGAGTTTCACGAGATGTTTCAGGAGAGACAAACTTAATGTATAATTTCTTAAAAAGTTGTTAATTAAATAATAAATCTTATTTGTTTGTTTTGCACTTGAAGATTGTAAACAGCTCCATAATGTTGCCACACAAGCAGCAACAGGTAAGTACATTCAGCGACGGTGGCAACGCTATCGATATATTATATGAACATCGATATACTAAACCATCGATAGATTGTCAACAATTGAAGCCCACGTGCAAAGCGAATGTTTATGTGCGGCAAATGGAGCTTAAAAAAATGAAACCTCTGCTGGATACAGAACCGGAATCCAACGATAATGTGAATGAAAATAAACCGGGGAAGCGACGCAACCCATTCAACACGCAGCGCTTGAAGGAGGAAAAGGAGCGCAGGCAAAAAAAGAAGGCACGTCTCATTGTACGCAACATCAGCTACAAATCAACGGATGAAGCAATGCGCGAGTATTTTGGGCAATGGGGCACACTGGAGGATGTGAACATCCTGAAGCGAGGCGATGGAAAACTCGTTGGCTGCGCATTTGTGCAATATGAAACAATTAATCAGGCCACCAAAGCTATACTCCAATCCAATGGCAAGGAACTTCTGGGACGTAAAATTTTTGTGGATTGGGCCATTGGCAAGGATGAATATGCAGCCAAGCACCAAAAAGACGAGCCAGACGACAAGAAACCCAAGTTGGAGGTGAAGGAAGAGAGTGATACTGAAAATGGAGGAGAGATTGTTAATAAAGTAGCATCCGGCAAGGAGTCTGATATAGAAGATGCTGAGGAGGAAGATGAGCAAAGTGAGAACGAAGATGAAGAAGATCTGGATAATGATGATGACGATGACGGCGATGATGATGATGATGACGACGATGATGATGACGACGATGATGATGACGACGATGATGATGTCGAGGATGATGAAAAGGAAGACAAAAAGGATTTGAAATCAAAACTGGAGCACGTAAAGCAGGAGAAAACCATTTCCAATGATGTGCAACAAGGTTGCACAGTCTTCATTAAGAATGTGCCCTTTGACGCCGAGGATGGGGACTTGCGTAAAGTGTGCCGCAAATTTGGTGTCGTGCAGTATGCAATCATTAACCGGCAATCAGTTTCCGGCCACTCGAAGGGTACTGCCTTTGTCAAGTTCAAGGCCAAGGAGTCAGCTGATCTTTGTCTGCAGGCTGGCACCGAGTTTAAGCTAATGGACGAGGTGTTGGATCCACATCCGGCGCTAAGTCGCGACGAAATCAAAACAAAACAATCGGAAAGTTCCAAAGAGGAAGCCAAGGATTCACGTAATCTCTATCTGGCCAGGGAAGGTCTGATCATGGCCAATTCAAAGGCAGCCGACGGCGTTTCCGCATCAGACATGGCGAAACGACACGAATTGGAGCAGGTGAAGACGCAGGTGCTTAAGAACTTGAATCGGTAAGTTGCAACACCTCAAAATAATTCTGAATACCCCTTAATTACTATCCAATTCCAGTTTCGTTTCACGCAATCGGTTATCCATACACAATCTGCCTTTGAACTATGACAACGAAAAGCTCAAGCAAATGGCCCTCACCTACACGGGCTTTCGTCCACATGAGTGTCGTGTGATGCGTGACCAGAAGGTTACTCCAGAGCATCCACATGGCAAATCCAAGGGCTTTGGCTTCCTTTCCTTTGACACACACCAGCGAGCTTTGGCTGCGCTCCGAAAACTAAATAACAATCCTAGCATCTTTGGCACGCAACACGTAAGTGCATCCTTTTTGTGGTCCTTGAGACTTACTCAACTCTTTCCAAATCTTTCAGCGTCCCATTGTTGCGTTTAGCATTGAAGATCGTGCAGTGCACAAAATCAAAGAAAAACGCACTGAGCGCTCAAAACAGAACAATCCCACATACAAATCGAAGCTGGAACAACGCAAGGAGCAACGTGCTCTTAAACGCAAAGGTATAAAGCCAACTCCAAAGATAGGACCTCAGGACGATAACAAGGCGAAGCTACAGAAGCACATCAAGAAACTCGAAGCGAGTAGAGCAGCCAAGGCAGAGGGTAAACAGCAGCAGCAACAAAAGAAGGCCAGCGACGTAGAGGGCGACTTTGTGGGCACCGCTGCCAAGCCAGGAACCTCATTACGCATGCGTTCCAAGAAGAAGATAATGGAACAGGCGCAAGAGCATATGAAACGAGTGAAAACCGAGAAACGTAAGCAGAAAAATAAAAAGATACGTGAAACGCATTTGGCTGAGCGCAAGGCCAACAATCGACCCAAACAAGGACACAAAAAGGAAAAGGACGAACTAAGACCTCTAATTAACAAATACAAAAACATGATCAGTGGCAATGAAGGCGGAGGAGGTGTAACAGGCGGTAAAGTGAAAAAACCTAAGCGTACCAAGTGGTATGCGGATTAGGGTCAAGAGATGACTCAGTTAATGTAAATAAGGACTATTTAAGATGGAACCGTTCGATGTTAAATAAATTTTAAATTCACTGATTAATAACCAAAAAGTTTTGATTGAGTTAAAGGTTTGACTTAGCTCTGTTGTACACATTTGATAATGCTTAAGAGTGAAACAGTTATCGAATCTTTTAAAGGTAGACGAAGTATAGCTCGAATGGTATCTTTCCTAGTTACTGCTACTCGTTACATTGAAACAAGATTTAAATGGGCTGAGGATGATAGCTTGGAGTTGCTTCTATTATATATATGTGAGTACCTCTAAGAGTTTGGAAGTTGTTAAACACCTTAAAGTCGACGATGAACTTGACGCAGAATAGTTCACAGTAATCGAATTCGCTAATTAACAAAACTGCACTGGCTTACTAATGGAAACAAGATTTTATGCATGTTGTAAACTACAAGTTTGGCCAATGACCCTCCCTAAGAATTTGACTAAGCCACAACGTTTATTCCAGCCAGAAGAAGCGTGAACCGTATTTGGCTGGTGGTGTTGGATAATCCTCAGGCAGGCCGGGCGTAGCATCGGGATATGATTTAATGGGCTCTTTCTCAGGTGCCTTGCGTTTTGTTTCAATGACCTGAAACAAAAAGTTAATGCCATCAACATTATATTATAATAGCTACGGCATGTTAACTCACCTTGGCACGCGTAAAGTAGCCATAGGAAGGACGCTCCCAGTCAAAGTGATCCTTTACACACTTATCAAAAACACCCTGAGTCTTGCGGCAACTGCAAACATTCGAATGTGAACAAATATCCATGGGAAATCAATAATAAATCGTTACTTACTGGCTGAAAGCCATGGTGCCGCTGCTCTTGTCCAGGCAAGTGGCGTACTGCATGAACTCCTCATGACAGGTCTTCTTTACCTTGCGAAAGAAGTTTAAGGCGCAGCTGGTGACGGCCCGACCCTCGCCCAAACAGGCACGCGGATCATCCAGCTCTTGGCGACAAAGCATGAACTCCTGCAAAAAATACCCACAGAAAAATTAACAAACGTAAACAAAAACAATTGTCCCATCAGCTTTTGAGGTTAGGTTATATAACTTGGTTTCGCAGTCATTTAGCCGGGGCATTTACACATAAGCTTGGTGAATACGTGTAATAAATGCACTCAGCCATAGTGTTAAATATATAATGGTTCTTTTTTAAAAGAAGTATACTCACATTATTGACTCCTTCACATTGCTTGCCTAAGTGAAAAGAACCAGCACGCAGCGCAGCCGACGATAGATTTAGCTCCTGCACATCCAGCTCTGCCTCTTCGGGTAGTGTTGTTTTGTTTGTGATAACCATTACGTGCTGATTGTACTGCCCGTTGCTCTAAAAGTGCAGCAAAGCCGTTTTAATTGCAAACAAATGCGTTAAATTGTTATTTTTTACGTGTTCGAGTGACAAATTCGTCTCCAGCAAAACAACAGCTGTTCGCCGATTAGCTATCGATGAGTATAACCGTTTGACGCAAGCGGCGCAGACAGCTGTTATTTATGAGTCGCTCAACTATCGATTTAAAGCACATCGCGTTTAATTTGAAATATTCATATCAACATAATTATTAGTGGGAATGATATCTGGCCTGCTTTAGCTAGTCTTTTTTCTTAATTATAATCATTAATCTAATAATGCAGCTAATACATTTTGTGCACAAATATATTAAATTGTTATCCCGTCTTTTGAAACAAAAACAGCTGCTGGCCAATGAGCTATCGCTAGGCGTAACCGTTTGACACACGCCGCGGGAAAAACTTCCAAAACACTCGACTATCGATTGTTGAGAAATTTAAAAAATGTAATAATTAAAATACAATTTTTAAGCATGTCAGAAATAATTAAAAATCAAAATTTTAAACAATATTCTGAAAATATTTAAATTCATTGCGAAGCTATGAACTCCTTTTTGTTGTTTCTAATGATATCCCTGATAAGCGTGCCTTTTACATTGCAAACCACAATTAAAGCAGATCTCAAAAGCAATGCGAATTCAAACGATGGCAATGTTAAGGCACTGGATTACCGCAACTCTGTTGAAGAGATTGTAAAGCATCTTATGGAGGTTTGGACATCACCCTTAGTATATCTAAGGGATCGGGGGTACTTGAGAACACCTAACGTTGGCTTTATGCTAATGTCGAATGGTATTAACGACTCGAAGGATGATAAGAAGAATGGGGAACGTGCGACACGACGCTCAGATAAAGAGGATAACACGCCAAATGACTTGAAATACCTGTTTCGCACGCTCTTCTCAACCAGCAATGACATAAATGTATCCGATAAAATTAAATCTAAGACATGGGACATGAATGTACTAAAGAGCACCGTGCGCAACCAAGCCTCTAAATTCTACGAAAAGATCTATGATAGATACAATGGACAGACAGCGAAGACGGATAAAAAAGTAGAGACGGATACAGACAGAGAGGTTGCTCAGATAAGTCCATCGCTTGTAGCCAGTGAAAAGGCGAAGAAGAAAGAGATAGAGAAGGAGAAGACGTCGACTAGTAGTGTAGAAGTTGCTCATAAGCAGCCGCAGTCACAGCTACAGCTGAGCGACGGAATAGCCCAAATACTAACCGCCTGGGCCAAGCCCTTGCAGCAGCAGTCAAAGCAGCTCAAGGAACAGAAAGAAACAAATCCATCTACATAGAGTTCAAGTTTAACAGCTTCGATATTGATTTGGTTTCTATATATACTTTTTATATTTTTTATATTTTTCGATTAATTTGAAATTTGACGAGCCCTTCAAACCCAGTCCAGTGAGAGAAGGAGCGAGAGCAATGCAAGCAAAATCATTTGGTCATTGAGTTAATTAAATCATTAGCAGCGATTAATTAAAACTCGTTTCCGATCAGACCAAAAACCGGAGCTCGGCTATAAAAAGCAGCTGCCCTGCTGCTATTTGAACAAAAACAAAAAAACAAACACAACAAAATAATGTTGAATCATGTGAGTAGCGAGATTTGATTTGGTGTGTTCACTGTTTTCGACTAAGAGAACTGACTTTGCATATCTAGAAATTCCTGAACGGCGCCTGGCTCCTGCTGCTGGTGCTGCTGTGTACCTACTTGGCCGCTGCCGATGAGGAGCCCACTCTGATTAAGCTCGTCAATCAGCAGAATTTGGATGGCGCTGGCCAATACAATCACGAGATTGAGGTGGATAATGGCATCCACTCATTGGCCAAGGGCAATGTGAATAGGGTCGAAGGCGAATACTTTCTGCTCAACGAGAAGGGCAAGCCGCCCATACGTGTGACCTATACAGCCGATGCCACTGGCTTTCATCCACATATTAATTAAACTCGTATTTACCAACTTGTTTGCCCGCAATAAAGAATACAAAAGGAATTCAAAATTCAGCTGAAAACGAAATGTGATACAGTTAAATGAGGCGGAGGGACAAGGAGGGGCAGGCAGTTGTAATTTATGGGGCTCATTACATTTTAAATTTAATAAACAGATCAGCTAAATATATATCTATCTACATGTTTATATATCAACTGCTGTGCACAGCAATTTTTGTGGGCTATAAAAGCCTTTGGGCAAACGCAGTTAGAGCAGCAATCCCAACGCAAATATCAACATGTACAAACATGTAAGTATACTAAGCACCTGTGCACCTGTACACCTGTACTTAGCTGGCACGCCCCCACTTGCAGCTCTTCCTGATTGTCGCTGTGCTGTTTGCCGTCAGCTGCGCCTACGACGATGACGCCCATGCCAAGGCGAAGGAGCTGCATAAGGACGATGGCCATGGCAACTTTGCTTATAGCTATGATATAACGAATGGCATTGTCGCCCAGGAGTCGGGCGATGCTCACAATAATGTCCAAGGCAAATATCGCTTTACCTCCAAGGAGGGCGTGCCCATTGAGGTGTCCTACACAGCCGATGAGAATGGATATCATCCGCATGGCGATTCGCTGCCCACTCCGCCGCCCACACCTGAGGCCATACTCAAGGCGTTGGTCTACATCGAAGCGCATCCGCCCAAGGATGAGCCAAAGGTGAGCCCACGCCCGCAGCCAAGCCAGAAACACGGTAGACATTAGGCATTCGCCATTGTCCCCACTCTACGATATTTCAATTGCAATTGGTTGCGTCCTTTCATCAGTTGGACATAAAAATAAAACTTTACGACGCAAGATTTTCCACAAATTTCTATCCAAAGTGGGGGGTGTGGCACGGCACGTGTCCCAACTCTTTCGCCAGCCAAGTCCATAAAATACGCATTGTCATGTTATGTCAAGAGCAGGAGGAACAGCCGGAAGGGATGGCCATTGTAAATGTTATATTTAAATGCGACGAGTCCATTGTTCGATCTGAATGGAAGCCATTCGAAAACATGTTCCGGAAACGACAACTTAATGGAATATCTAAAAGTCCTTTCACAGCCATATACAGAATACCAAAAGCATTTCAATGGGCCAATCATTGGGCTTATTCAGATCCTGGCAATTGTCGCGCCAGATCGCCACTTAGCAGCTTTTCAATGGAATTTTCTCTTGACTGGAAAGGCATGGAAAGAGGCAGAGCTCGATAGAGTAACAAAAGGCCTTTAAGAGTAGTCCGAGATCCTTGCTATGCTTGATATATGCAGCGCAGAAAATACCTTTAACTACAAATGTAAGGGCTAAGAGCAAACATCTTAATGACAAGCTCTTTAGAGAGTATTTCAAACTTATTCAAATCCTTGATTTGAACGAGAGTTGTTCTAGAGTAAGTATTCTCTACAGCTATTCCATTGGAAACATCCTTTGCAGCTTTTCCCTTTAATTTTTATACGAAAAGTTCTTCAAAGAAGGCTAACAGCTTATGCAGATACTCACCTGACTTGGTTGCCCAAGGTAAAGCTATTTATCTCCAGCTGGACATTATTTATATAGCTATAACTTAATCAGATTCCTCGACAGTTTTCTTGACTTGTGGATACTAATTTATATTTAGGGACATCCAGAATTCCCCTTACTTTAAATGCACCAATTTTGTAACAAAAGCAGTATTACAACTTGGCAGGATTGCGAGCCAGCTCCATGTCCTGTGAGATGGGATTCACCAGCTTGCGCACGATGTCGAATTTGGGATTATTCTTATCGCGCACTAGATCAAAGATTACGCTCTCGCTGGTGGTAATCACGCAGCCCGCCTGCCTCAAACGTTCCAAAGCCAAATCACGATCCTGTTTGAGGCGCGAGCAACAGCAATCGGCTACAATATAGACATTGATGTCCTGCTCACGTAGATCAATAGCAGTTTGCTCCACGCAAATATGAGACTGGAAGCAATAACAGATTCATTTACTCCGAAATAATAGGTGCCAAAACTGATTACCTCGAGTCCATAGAGAACCACATCCTGTGGCTTCTCGCCAAAGATCTCCTTCATAACGTTCTTCACCTGGGGCGTCATCATGCTAAAGTAGGTCTTGCCCATCACAGCCTTCGCATGCGATATATCCACTTCAGCCACCGTTTTTCCTAGTTTCTCGGGATAATGTTCCGTTACAATCAAAGGCACGTCCAAAACTTTGCCCGCCTTTGTCTGCAGAAACAATCGATTATCGATAATGAATTAGGCTACAAAGTTCACGACTTACCAGCTTATCTACATTTTTAACCATATTGTCGAAGAGTGGCATGCTGGGTCGAAATTTCTCCTGTATATCGCAGAGCAGAAACAAAGTCTTCTTTGGATTCAAGTGGCAGCGTCTGAAGGCCATTTTTGTGGCTGTTGTCAATAGTACAAAATAAAATGTCAATTAAGACAATTTCAATAACTTTCTAGTTGGATAATCAACAGATAAGCACACAACATATTAACCTATGTCTTGTATATAATTTTTGTATGTAACAATATTTACTTGCAGTTGTATTCCCCTTATCAATTAACAATCCAATTGATTTGAGCGAGAACAAAGTTTCTTACTTAGCGATGGTCCAATTAGCTTAGAACAGCTGTTGCTTCGATGCGAAACGGTTAAGCAATATCGATAGCAACACATATATTCTTAGTGAGAGTGATGCCCCATCGTCAATGAAAGATGCATATGATGATCAGTGTCATACTCACCGATTGTAGTGCTCTGAAACGGTCATAAATGCATTTTAATTATTATCGTCATTATTATACATGCAAAAAGAATCGTTACTCTTCGATCTTCACGCCATGATTAAGAGTGAAACTTCCAGTTATAGGAAAGATTAATGTTAATATATATATTTGCTGCGTATGCCTTTTCTGCAGCACGAAACGGTTATGAATATACACTTCCTGTTAACGGTTATTATAACAGTTTATTAGAAAAAACTAATCTAAGTAACTTTCAATTTAAATGGATTAGAAAGCACTTAGGCAATAGTCGTTAATTAAAAGCAACAGAGTCAATTTATTCCGAGGGTCCATGGCCTCGCTCCTCCTCTCAAAAAGTAAACAGCCAATAGGCATAAAGTCAACATTTATCAACTGCTGCCGACTAATCTCAAATCCCAGACTCACTAGCAGCCATTTTGCGGCACTCAACTAGGGTCTTGAGCTCCAGCAAGCCCCACGCGGCAATTAAACTAAATTGTGTGGACCCACCCAGACAAAACTGCCAAAACTCCGCTCACACTCACACACACAGGTAGCAGATTTATATTCATAAGCTAGCCCAAAACAGGCAAACAGCTGTGAGAGCTTGTAGATAGAGCTTGGGCTGCTGTGCTCGGCTCTGCTCTGGTGTGCTGGCATTTATAATTGAATTCCTTAATGCGGACTGCGGGCAGCTAGCAGCTAGCCCCGCCCAAAGCATAGCATTATAGTAATGAAGCCACAGTCAATTTCAATAACGCAATCAAATGCGTGCAATTTCTAAAAACCACAAAATCCAATGCCAAAGCGAACCAAAATGTCCAATTGACCAACGTCCAATGCCGCACGCATTGTTCGCATCCAAGCTAAAGTGTGTTATATACTTTTTTTTGGCTTTTTGGCCAGCTTGGCATGCCTGACACGTAGTTTTCTATGGCCGAGCGTTGGCTGGACCAACGCCAATGCCTTGATAATGGAATGGCCCTTACCCCCATTGACTGTCCCCCGTCTATGCCCCACTGTCGCATGCATATTTCAGCAATTTACGCTACCTTTTTGCCCCCTTTTTCTCGGCGTTAACCATCTAGGAGCACAGCTCGCAACAGTCCTCGCTATGCTCTGCGTACATATTTTATGAGCCTCCAAAGTTGCGGGCGCTGCAATTTAAAAAAGGAGGGAAATAGAAGCTGAGTGTACTACTCAAAATCGTGTAAACCAAGGTCTCTTTTTTTCGGGTTTTTGGCCAAGTTTCAGCTGGACTTCGTTATGGACACTAGACTTTTGTTGCTGCGTGGGCATTTTACACAATGCTCTCCAAATGGGCTACGGTGCGACTGCACTATGATAAACTACTTGATCTATATCTCTCTCTAAATTTTATAGTTAAATAGATAGCTTGAGCTTTACATATAAATTCCCCTTATTTTCAGTGTGATAATTCAGTTTGAGTGAATGTTAAAAGTTATCGATAACTTTTTTGTTTTTTTTTACTTAACTATTAGAAAGCTTAAAAAGCTTGAAATATAGTACAGTATAACTGCATTATAACGACTTTTAGACTTTTTTAGACAATTTCAAGGTTGCTAAAGTCCTTTGTCCATATTTGAAGTCGTAATTCTCTAACTTCTCATGAATTTGCATGTTCGTTATAGCCAAGTTAAGCTGTGCGCTATGTAATTCATTCATTACGCATTTTATTAAATATATATGTAGTCTGTATGGTATACTCAGCAAACAATCTTAAATGATATTTTTCAAAAGTTATCGATAACAATTTGGTATTTTTTGTATTTAAATACTAAAACCTACACTTCATGTATAATAAACGCTTTTATAGAGGATTATCTACAGTCGCTCCATTATTTATTCAATGATCGATAGTACGCTTAGTATTTTTTGATATTTTAAATACAGTCCTCCCATTACTAATTATAAACTTAGTATTTATTGGTATTTTTAGTACTATAAACTGCATGTAACGTATGATTAAAGCTTTTACATATGATTTTCTCTTATTAATATTTATCTTATTTAAAGTTATCGATAACAATTTGACAGTTTGGTATTTTTAGTATTTTATACATTAAGAAGCGCTTAATAGCCCAATTTTCTGGCCCTCCAGCTCACTTGCTTCCCAGCTCACACGTTCGTTATAGTCACGCCAAGCTGTAGAACACTACGCACAGCCAATACGCATTTCGATAGATATTTGGCTATATATATGCATGTTTGTACGTATGCGTGTCGCTGTATATCTGTATTCATAGCGCTATGCGCTAGTCGCAGCCATTTTGGCTTTTCAATTTGAACGCCATTTTCGCTTGAACGAGCAGCGAGCGTAATTTGCATTTTTTATTTGGTTTTATTGCGAGACGGTTGGGCTATTTTTAGCCAGCTAAGGCTGCCAAGAGACAGGTGATAATGCCAATAATAAGTCGACTCAATTGCCACAGCAAATTTTCGAATAAAACAGAAAGAGAAACAGCCACAAGAAATTGAAAATAGAAGTAGAAGTTGAGTGCCAAAAGCCAAGAACAATTCATTTTGTGGCACAAATTTTCTAAATTTTCTATTTTGGAAAACAATTTGTGTAAAGTCACAAAATGTTTGTCTGCCAGACAAAACACACATATGCTGTGTGTGTGTGTGTCTCTTTGTGTCTCTGTATTTGTATTTTTATGTGATTTCTTCAGTCAGTCGAACTTTTGGAATTGGAAATTGTGGGCGCAACTCTCTTGAGCAGCTCAAAAGCGGACGTAAAGGGAGTTCAAATGGAAATTGTTATGGCATTTACAGTACTCAAGTGCGTGTGTGTGTGTGTGTGTGTATTTTGTTGAAATTTATTCAATGAAATGTAAATGCGACTCAATTGTAGTTTATTTTGTAGTAATTCTTGATTGCACAACAAGCAAAAGTCATTTAATTTCGATTGCGTTCGTTCAACATTTTCATTTTAGCATTTTCCCATTTTTCCATTTTCCCACATTGCCATTTTCAATTTGCATATTGCTCCAGGGGCAAGACACAGCCACACCAACTATTACAATATATGACTCTGGCATATGTTCCTAGATTCAACACGGAAACTCACTTTATGCATGACTTTTCAGCGCCGCTGATAGATGTCTGCAAAAACTTTTGTTTTGACACAATAAATGTTGTTTGTACATAAGCTGCAGGCACACATACATACATACACTATAACTAAGTAGTCATATATCTGTGTGTGTATCTATTGGACATGTCAACCCCTTTTATTTGCGCTGGCAAAGTTTTGGCCCCTTTTTGCTTATCAACAGAAATGTTCGCAATTCAACTGATATGCCAAACTACGCACGTTATTCGCTGCCACGCCCTGCCGCCGCCGCCTTCGATCAAGCACTCGCTCCACTCTGCATGAAGACATGCTGGCATCTGTGTAGGCAGCTCCTCTATACAGCTATTGCTATAGCTAATGCTTGTCACGTTTGCCTCAACGTTTGACAAGGCAAATTCGACATGCGAAAAAGCGAAGTCAAAACAACCAAAAGCACAAAACAAAGGCAAGAGCAAAGCGCATAGGGCGGCTGCTGCAACTGCATGATATGCCCAAGGGATACCCTGTACTTTAGCTGTGACACTATTAATCTGAATTGAGGAGAAAGAGCCTGATAAGTTATCTTCTTTTGTCTTCTATGTTCTATTTTCTAGCTTTTATTATTAATTTTCAATCTTCAGTCTTCAGTCTTCCATCTTCCATCTTCCATCTTCCATCTTCCATCTTCCATCTTCCATCTTCCATCTTCCATCTTCCATCTTCCATCTTCCATCTTCCATCTTCCATCTTCCATCTTCCATCTTCCATCTTCCATCTTCCATCTTCCATCTTCCATCTTCCATCTTCCATCTTCCATCTTCCATCTTCCATCTTCTATCTTCCATCTTCCATCTTCAATCTTCCATCTTCCATCTTCCATCTTCCATCTTCCATCTTCCATCTTCAATCTTCAATCTTCAATCTTCCATCTTCCATCTTCCATCTTCCATCTTCCATCTTCCATCTTCCATCTTCCATCTTCTATCTTCCATCTTCCATCTTCCATTCCATGTTCCATGTTCCATGTTCCATGTTCCATGTTCCATGTTCCATCTTCCATCTTCCATCTTCCATCTTCCATCTTCCATCTTCCATCTTCCATCTTCCATCTTCCATCTTCCATCTTCCATCTTCCATCTTCCATCTTCCATCTTCCATCTTCCATCTTCCATCTTCCATCTTCCATCTTCCATCTTCCATCTTCCATCTTCCATCTTCCATCTTCCATCTTCCATCTTCCATCTTCCATCTTCCATCTTCCATCTTCCATCTTCCATCTTCCATCTTCCATCTTCCATCTTCCATCTTCAGTCTTCAATCTTCAATCTTCCATCTTCCATCTTCCATCTTCCATCTTCCATCTTCCATCTTCCATCTTCCATCTTCTATCTTCCATCTTCCATCTTCCATGTTCCATGTTCCATGTTCCATGTTCCATGTTCCATCTTCCATCTTCCATCTTCCATCTTCCATCTTCCATCTTCCATCTTCCATCTTCCATCTTCCCTTTCCATCTTCCATCTTCCATCTTCCATCTTCCATCTTCCATCTTCCATCTTCCATCTTCCATCTTCCATCTTCCATCTTCCATCTTCCATCTTCCATCTTCCATCTTCTATCTTCCATCTTCCATCTTCCATCTTCCATCTTCCATCTTCCATCTTCCATCTTCCATCTTCCATCTTCCATCTTCCATCTTCCATCTTCCATCTTCCATCTTTCATCTTCCATCTTCCATCTTCCATCTTCTGTCTCTTACGAAACTCTATCATCATTAAACAAACATCTGAAGCTTTAATATTTGCAAACT